CAGAGGGATCTTCAGGCGCGGCCTAAGCGACCCCTCGCAAACCACCTCCTTCCGTGACGTCATCCTCGCCTTTCGAGCTCCCCTCCGGCCGCATACATACGTCTTGGGGCGAGGCGAGAGGGACGTCACAGAAGGGGTTGGTTTGCAAGGGGTCGGTCAGGCCGCCCCTGAGATCGGGCCAGAGGAGCGCCGCAGAACGATGGGGTCCCAGCCGTGCAATGTCTCGATGTTTTAAAGACGCGGTCCCCAGGAATCCGGTTTGTTTTTTCCAAGGGCCGGTTTTTCATCCCGAGTGGTCTTCAAGAGGTCCTGGGTGGCCCCCGGAGGCCGAGGATCCCACCAGCCCTTGGGGCGTAGGTGGTCGAACGAGTTCGTTCCTCTTCCGAACCCCTCTTCCCTTCGGGGAGGGTGCCAAGGTCCTTTTCGGCGGGGACCGCAAGGGGGTTCGAGCGTCCAAGATGGCTTCCGATGCTCCGAGATAGCCTCCAAGGCGGATCCAGATAATCGAAGATGGTTCAAGATAAGTAGCTTCCGACATACCTCCAAAAGGCCCGACGAGGGAAGACGGTTTCACGTGCCCTCGGGGCGCCCCCAGGACCCCCCCAAGCGGCCAAAACCCTTCAGACACCTACACGACAATCAACAATCTTTGCCTTCTCGGGGCCCGAGAGGCCCCCCAAACTGCCCCAAGAGCTCCCAAGATCGGCTCAAGAGCGCACCAAGAGGCGGTTTTGATGGCCCCATGGGGGGGCAGTCAAATTCAGGACCCCCCCGTCCTTTGATTGATAGCCTCCAAGATGGCATCCGGGGCTCCCAAGAGGGCCCCCAAAGCGCCCAAGAGCGTCCCACCAAGGCCCAAGAGACGGTTTGCCTCCTCCTCCTCCTCCTCCTCCTCCTCCTCGTCCTCTCCCCCCCCCCGCACAAGCCGGGGGCCCGGTGAGCACATCGGGATAGCCGGGGAGCCCCCGCCAGCGGAGCTGGCGGGTGGTCCGTGCCGCTTGTATCGGCGGGGAAAAAAATGAGCCAGCGACCAACCGCAGGACTGGCGGAGGGTGGCGGGGGGGCTTGGGCGCCCAGGCCCCCTAGGGGTCCCTCCCCTGGGGGGGTGGGGCATCGGGTGGGGCGGGCTCGGGATGCCCCCCGTGGCCAGGCCCCCCTGGCTTGGGGTTCCTGGGCTCGTCCTACTTGGTGTCCCTCTTCCTCCTGGAGTCCCTTCGGGGGGCGGGCTGGAGATCAAGCCTAACAGCTCGGTCTCCTGCGCGGGCTCCCTCGGGCCTGCGACGCGCGCCCGCAGGGTCCACTGGACCGCGGTGCGGCGGCACCCGTCGCCTGATCCGAGGGCGCGGCGAGGTGCAGGAAGCGGGGGCCCGACTGCTGGCGCTTGGGGCCCCTGGCCCCCAGGGCAGTGCGGGTGCACGGCGCTTCCAGTGCGGCCACGTCACGCCCTGGGGTCTTTTGGCCCTGGCTGCCCTACTAGGGGGGGGCTGCTGGGGCCTGCTGGGGGTCCTTGCGGCGCGGGGCCTTCCATTCTTTTTTGGCTGAGTTTTTCTTCGTGGGCCCCCCTCGAGCAGAGGGGCCCCGCAAGCCTCAAGGCTCCATTGTGCTCACAGAGCTGTGGACGTCTTCTTCGCATAGGCTCGCATAGTCCTCCTCGTCCTCCCCCCCTCGCCCCAAATCTCCATGGATCAGCCGAGCTTCGTTTCACTAAACTGTGTCTCTTCGTCCCTTTTCCCGTCAGCTCTCATGGGCAGGGTTTCTGAACGGGCTGGTGGGGACACGCGAAGCGTGGTGAAGAATTGAGACAATCCTCCGTTCTGAATGTTTCAAGACGTTGCTTGTCTGGGGTCTAGGAGTCCGGCTTGATTTATCACGATGGTGTGTTTTTTTCCGCGTCGTTGGCTCTCACGGCGAGCAGCCCTGACCTCCTCTTTTGTTGTTCTGATGTTTCTTTGGATCTTCTTGGCTGCTTCTGGAAGTTTTCGCGGCCCAGGGTGCTCCCCAGCGTGGGCGCCTCGCTGAAAGCGTCCCCGGGCGCCAGCCGCAGGCTTGAACTATGAGCCTAAAACCAAACTCCCTCGCGTCGTGAACAGCCTCACGATGGTTGTTTTTGTCGTTTTCGGTGTCCGGTGCCCTTGCTGGGCCCACGGGCTGTCAGACACTACTCAGGATGGACGGCTGGTCCCCGAGAAGGGGTCCAGACCTCCGCGCCACGCTGTGGAACAAAACCGACGTCGCGTGTCTGGAAGGGCCAGGGAGGGTCGAGGATGATCGGGGAGTTCGAGCAGGGTTCGTGGGGGAGGGTCGGGAACGGTTCGAGGAGGATAGATGATGTCAAGGAGGTCGAGGAGGCTCGAGGATCGAGGCGCGTCGGTGAGGTTTGAGGGTCGACAGGATTCGAAGAAATTCGAAGAGGATCTGGCTTTTGGAACCTTTCCATCGCCGTCGTGGGAGGTCATCGGCGTCTCTTTATTGGCGAGCCCGAAACGTGTACGGCAAACGCATGGGGGCGATGCCTGACAACGGGCGTTGTCCGACATCGACGGCAGCCGCAGCGACCACGGCGGTGCCAGCAGTGAGTCATACTCAAAATGGGCAGGAGCTGCTGTCGGACTTCGCCCCTGATCTTTCAATTGGAGGCTTCCTAGATGGGGTCGGAATAGAAGGAGTCGGAGGATCGCGCTGCATCGCCGATACATCGGCGATGCATCGCCGATG